AGTATGTGTGTTTGATTGATTCGGTGTAGTGGAGCTAATGCGGAGGACGTACGAGGCCGATCATTTGGACGCCGCGGGCGTCGAATTCAGGCTTGAGTTTCGCAAAGGCGCCCAGCTCGGTTGTGCAGACTGGGGTGAAGTCTGCGGGGTGGCTGAAGAGGATGGTCCATTTTCCGTTGAGGAAGTTGTGGAAGTCCTGGTCGGTGTTAGTTGCTGCTTCATATGGTGTAGGGAATCCGTACAATGTCGCCGTGGGTAGTTTTTGCCTGGAAGTTTGGGGCTGGGGTCAATGGGTTAGTATGATAATCACTACAAAGCGCTCTGCCAAATTCTGAATACCAATTGATCCTAGCCTTAGGCGTGGCTGCTCGGCAGGAAGCGAATACCCGCGGCGAAGCAGTGGGGTAATAGGACGCTGTACTCGCAGTACAGGGCGCGCAGAGGAGCGTAGAGCTCGGGAAGCTGCGCGAGGAAGGAATGAAGCCATTGTGTAGAGCACAAATCGCAATGAAGTTGTCGCAAGTGAGTTTTTTCAGCTCTTCAGCTCTTGTACATCGTCTGGGGGCGATAGAGATTAGTCAGTTTGGGAACCTTTTCCTATGGCGTCATCTCGAATCAGAGGGGTTTTGTCGGTCCGAAATCGGCTGTGTCGTTTTCTCGTAACCTTGGTGTTTATCTTCATTTAAACTCTCATTCATGACGATTGGGAAACATTAGAACAGAGTTCTTTGGAATTCGTTGCAATACCTGGAATACATATCGAAAAGGATACTGGTGTACATGTACTAGTAGCATCATCCCGTCCACCCGCCATGCCTCACAAAGCGCCGTCTACCTTTCCATCTTTGATAGTCACTTCCAAATCATCTTGAGATTCAAGCATGAGCGGAACAGTGAGTCCTTTCCATAGTCGCGCTGGGACCTTTTCGTCTTCGCCCTCCTCGTTCTCAACTTTTCCGCGCCACCAGCGACAACCCTTTGGCTGCATCCTGATCTTGTACTTTCCATCCTGTAGTCCTTTCACTTTCCAATCGATCTGGTGTGCAACAGTAACCGGTTTGTGAGGCTCCAATATTATCAACTCGTCTACTCTGGGTCGTGTATCGGCTTTCGGGTCTCTCAAGTGACACTTGCTGGGATCTTCATGTCCGCGGACCACTTTTCCCGTTGCAGCATCAAGGACCATAAGACTGGATACCGGGGCATACTTTTGTGGCGTAGAGTCTATGATTCTTGGGCGGTCGTCGAGCACACCAGGTTCTGGCTGCATGGGACCCCATGGAACAAGGAAACTCTGGTGGCCTCGAGCTTGTATAGTGATGGTTTCCTTGGCCGTATTTTCAACGGTAACTTCTAGCGATGCGCTTTCCAACAAGCGTAGCTTTACCTCCACTTTCGGTGGGAACACTAGGTTGTCCATGACTTTGAATGTTGCATTGCCGTGAGAGTAGCTGTTGACCAACTTTGCGGTTTCACCACGAGCTGCTACAAACTGATCTTGGTCGCCGTACATCCATTTGCTGACACCGAGATCTTTACTCGCAAGTCTTATTCTGTATCTGTTCCCTACTTTGAGTATAGATGCCAAAGCACCCGTCAGATCAATATGACCCAGACGTACCGTCATATCGTCCTTCCAGTTCTTCGTTCGGCTGACGGGAGAAGGGACAGAAATGCATTCTGAAGTACTCTTGTCAACTTCTCCAATGTTGCTCAAATCTACTTCAACCCATTTTGTAGTTTCCCCAGGATGTTCCTCGTGTAGGGTAAGCAAGCCATGTGCCAAGGCGTATGGGACATCAAACACTGAGCCCGCAGTCTCAATAAGTAGTGGGCGAGGATCCGTGTCGGACTTGGAAAGACGGCAGATGCCGAACACGACACTAAATGGTAGTTGTCCCGATGCGTCAAAAACGCTGTAGCGGCTGTGAGGTTGTACGTGAATAGAGAATTCGCTCGTCATGGTGTGAGTGTAATAGGGGTGTCGAGATTCAAAGTGATACCAAGGAGGCCAATAATTCTATAAAGCAAGTTCTACGTTAGGTTTGGGGAGCATCTTTGACTACGACAATCCGTAGACAGTGACGTCAGGTAGGCGCGTAAAGTAGACTGTGGCACAGCATGAGTCATATTCTGAGTCAATCGCTCGAATGGGGCGAAAAGTGTAAGGTGTCCAGAATTTTCCAGGATTGATTGGCCCATTACTTCAAAACAACAAAATCCATCCGCATCTTGCAGCCAAAGAGAGTGTGGCACGCTATGTCTCGGATTCCGGAGCTTACTGGTTCAACAGGTTCTGTCCGCGATGTATAGACTAGGGTAACGTCTCTCGGTCGATCGATAAAGTCGGAAAACCCAGACCAAGCGGGCTAGTCCACCAAAACGACTAAACTTCACAACAGGATATCAGCAGCACCACAATATTGTTTTAAGAGAAAATTAGAGCCAGTGATTGAATTTTTTTCACTCTGTTTGCTATATAGCGTAT